AAAAAAAAACAAAAACGGAACACGTAAAAGCATGAATAATCCGACTGAATAAGTGTAGTTCGTTTGCGCTGATGTTTAATAGTGCTACAATGAAAAGTTACCAAATTTTAATTGTTTTCGTATAACGCCCCAGACTAAGAAACATCTTTTGCCTCTTAATTTTCCTATGTTCTTGTGCAATTGAGTGCCCTCGTCTGAAAACCTTAAGGGACTAGTCCCTGCTACCGGTCCCCTCGTGTAAACCCTTCAAAGACTTGTCGCCGGGACTTGTCGCACGGACTAGTCGCAGGGACTAGTCCCCTCGTGTGTGCCGACCTTTAAATTCTTCGGGCTCGACAAAGTGGGGATGCAATTAAATATTCGATATTTCATCATAGTCTTGGATTTTATGAGTTCCATATTACTGAGGTGATTAACGTTGGGATTGAAATTACCATGCGCGATTTTAAATTCGCTGCCCATTTGGCGGCCGCTTGCGGGCATTTGGTAGAAAGCTTAGAGCATAAGTAAACGCATTAATCTTGCCGTCTCGCCGTTTTATTCGTCTCGGTTTATCTCATTCGTGGTACTTTTGCCAGCGAAATAAAAGTTTAAAGCAAAATCCTAATGAAGGCACCCATAACCTGAGAATGAATGAGAAGCTGAATTTCCATGAGAATAATTTCCAATTCGAAATCGCAAGTACTTTGCTAGTGCATCAGCTTGCTTTGTGATTGGTCCAGAAAACTAGAGCAATCCTCTCAACCAATGAGACGCTTGTCTTTTTGACTTTAAGTTCTTGTTTTCTAAAGATGATTCATGATTGGTCGTAATCTTTCAGTTTTTCGACTATCTATTGGAAACCACTCTAAAGAGCGTTTGCTTTGTTAACGAGAACTGCTTAGCATTTTCGATGTTACCTGTGACTGAGCACACTGAAGTCTATGATAGATAAATGCACTTTAATTTAAAGGGATATAAAAGTGAAAACTATAGGTAGCAAAAACTTCAAATTATTTGCCAAACATTCTGCATTACTATCCTTTACTCATGAAGTTTGGAAAGCACCATACTACATTACAAACAATCGCAGACCATGAGCGCGATCTAAAAATTGCTAAATCAGTAGGAGACAGAGTTGGAGAAGGGCGAGCCAATGAAAATCTTGGCAATTACTATGATAGCATCGGCGACTTTAAAAAGGCCGTCGAGCACCATGAGCGTCACCTAAATATTGCTAAAGAACTTGGAGACAGAACTGGAGAGGGAGTAGCCTATGAAAATGTAGGCAAAAGCTACCACAGGCTTGGCGATTTTAAGAAGGCCATTAAGCACCATGAGAGTCTTCTAAAAATTGTTAAAGAGTGGGGAGACAAAGTAATGGAGGGACGGACCTACGGAAATCTTGGCAATAGTTATTGTAGTCTTGGTGCTTTTAAGAAGGCAATGGAATACTATGAGCGTCAACTGAAAATTGCTAAAGACGAAGGAGACAAAGCTGGAGAGAGACTGGCCTATGCAAATGTTGGCAATGGCCATCTAATCCTTGGCGATATTAAAAAGGCCATTGAGCACCATCAGCGTCATCTAAAATTAGCTAAATCAGTAGGAGACAAAGCTGGGGAGGGACAGGCCTATGGAAATCTTGGCAATAGCTATTACAGCCTTGGCGATTTAAAGAAGGCCATCGAGCACCATGAGTGTTGTCTAAAAGTTTGTAAAGAAGTGGGAGACAAATTTGGAGAGGGAGGAGCCTATGGAAATCTTGGCGTTGGCTATCGTAGGCTTGGCGATTTCAAGAGGGCCATTGAGCACCATGAGCGTCGTCTAAAAGTTGCTAAAGAACTTGGAGACAAAGCTGGAGAGGGACGGGCCCATGCAAATCTTGGGCTTGGCTATCATGGTCTTGGCGATTTCAAGAGGGCCATTGAGCACCATGAGCGTGATCTAAAGATTGCTAAAGAAGTGGGAGATAAAGCTGGTGAGGGAGTGGCTTATGCAAATCTTGGCATTAGTTATGAAAGCCTTGGCGATGTTAAGAAGTCCATTGAGCTCCATAAGTGTCATCTAAAAATTGCAAAAGAAGTAGGAGACAAAGCTGGAGAAGGAGGCGCATATGGAAATCTTGGCAATTGCTATCATAGGGTTGGCGATTTTTGGAAGGCCATTGAGCACCATGAGCGTCATCTAAAAATTGCTAAAGAACTAGGAGACAAAGCTGCAGAGGGACATGCCTGTGCAAATCTTGGCTTTGTGTATGATAGCCTTAGCGATTTTAAGGCCATCGAGCACCATGAGCGTCATCTAAAGATTGCTAAAGAAGTCGGAGATAAAGCCGTAGAGGGATTAATATCAACTAATCTTGCTCAGGTCTTTGAATATCAGGAGTTTGCTTTGAAAGCTATCAGTTTTTATAATTCCGGTTTGACAAAGTATGACGAAGTTAGAGCTCAACTCCAGTTTAAGGACGAGTGGAAGATTAGCTACAGCGAAACCTACAACCTTGCCTATAGACAATTGTGGCGTCTTTATTTAAAGCAAGGTCAGGTTCTTAATGCCTTGCGTACTGCTGAGAGAGGACGGGCGCAAGCCTTACGGGATCTCATGGAGATGAAATATATTTCTAGAGGAGAACACTTTTCTTGGTTTTCTTCCTCACTTAAATCATCCGTCTTCAACTTTAGATGCCTTCCAACAACAACAGTTTTTATGGCAATTAGTGAGGAAGAAATTGTCTTCTGGGTTATACACAGCGATAATAAAGTCGACCTGAGAAGAAAAGAGTTAAATGACTGCGTTTCAGAAAAAGACGTAAGAGAGCTCATTTCGACTCTAAACCATAATGCTCTTGAAGAAATTGGTGCACGATCTGCCATTACTTGTGAAAATCGCTCACTATATGAGAATCGCAATCAGGGATCGACAACTGAAAGGGCTCCTGCCAGTGTGTCTCGCTGTGCTCTACCAAATGAAAGCTTTAGGAAATTGTATGACATCATCATTGCTCCTATTGTTGACCTGGTTCGCGGAGATGACTTTATCTTTGTACCCGAAGGTCCGCTTAGTTTGGTCCCCTTTGCTGCACTGGTTAACCTGAATATGCAGTATTTGTCGGAAACGTTTAGGATCCGTGTGATTCCATCCCTGAGCACCTTGCAGTTAGTTACTGATTGTCCAGAAGACTTCCACAGAAAGACCGGTGCTCTACTTGTGGGAGATCCGTACTTAGAGGAAGTTCTTTTCAAGGGGAACAAGCTGTGTCAGTTACCATATTCAAAGAAAGAAGTAGAGATGGTCGGGAAAATCCTCGATGCCTCTCCTCTCATTGGAAAAAAGGCAACTAAAGATGAAGTTTTAAAGCGACTCTCCGCGGTTGCTTTAGTACACATCGCCGCACATGGTGCAATGGAGACAGGAGAAATCGCCTTGGCACCAAACCCTACTCGAGAAAGCCATCAGCCTGAAGAGAAAGACTTTTTACTGACAATGACAGATGTGTCAGAAGCTGATCTACGGGCAAGACTGGTTGTGCTTAGTTGCTGCCATAGCGCTCGTGGAGAAATAAAGGCAGAAGGGGTAGTTGGCATTGCACGAGCATTTTTAGGTGCTGGTGCTCGATCCGTCTTGGTGTCCTTGTGGGCGATTGATGACGAGGCCACTTTCCAGTTCATGAAACATTTCTACGAAGAATTGGTGAAAGGAAAGAGGGTCAGTGAAGCTCTTAACCAGGCCATGCGAAGTATGAGAAAGTCCGAAACTTTCAAGGAAGTTAAGTACTGGGCGCCCTTCGTTCTTATTGGGGATGATGTCACTCTGGAACATAGCCGATCAGGCCAAAGAGATGTTGATGCTTTTCAAAGTGAGTGAACATAATTTTTCATTACTGTTTTTGCATACCATGAATATAGATTTAGCAATATTTAGACAGCAACCAGTAATTCAGTGCCAGACATTTTACAAATAACATGTATAATCATAAATTTTGATGAAATAAATTTTATTTCACCTGCAGATGGAAATTAAGGTAAGGAATGATCCTCGCAAGCGCGCGAGCTGCAAGTTAACCATTTGTAGAAAAGAAACCATGATAAAAGTATAGACTTCGACGGGATTGGAATCCGTGTTCCAAGAAGTCGACAGTAGTCTTTTAGGGCTTCATTTCTGCGGTTGCTTAAGTTGCAGCTTACGTACGAGGACCATTGCTTTACTTAACATGTATAATGTTCATCATCTCCAGTCTCAAGAATTGTTATGACTGATTGAATGACGGCTTGAATGATTGATTAATCGATTGATTGATTGCTTTATGTTCTAACGGTTAAGGCTTTTTTTTCATTAATATGACGTTAATTAAGTTAGATGTTTTTTGTTTTTGGTAGGTGGATCCTATTGAAGAAGCTGTCCACAAACCAGATTGGAGTTAAATTGGCCCGCCTCCGAGTTAGATTAATTTATGAGTATACTTTGTTATTTTAAACGCATTAATCATGGTGGACCGCGTCGTAAATAATAGTCAAAGTATTTTGGTAAATATTCAGAAACGCTTTCTTTTAAAAGCGTTTAATCTTTAGTCGCGATTAGAGTAATTGTAAGAGCAGATAATTTTAGCTTTGTATTATATGCCTAATCAAAACGGACCAGGAACTCAGTTTTCATTTCATGTATTATATCTGAACAATATCATAACGCATTTTGGTGAGAAATTCTTTTAAAAAACTTAACTGTGTCGTAATAAGAATAACGACTGGTCATTTAGGTTTTTTTTTTAGATTGATTGGACGCTTTTTGAAATATTAATTTGCAAAGAGGACTTGTTTTTTACATGTTGCACATACAAGTCGGTAGCTCAAATGCGACGTAGACGTAGTTTCACAATACCATTTGCTTTTACTCATTCAACCGAATATGTACGAACGTGCAGTCACATCAGGTGTCTTAATGACATCAAACGGCAGACTTAAATTTTATCATTTTGAAATATGAGAGATTCCAAAACTTTCTAGGAAGTTAAGTACTAGGCGCCTTCATTCTCATTGGGGATGATATCACACTGGAACTGAACCGACCAGGCCAACGAGAGGTTGATGCTTTTCAAAGTGAGTGAACACAACTTTATTGCTATTTTTGCATAACATAAATTTAGATTTAGCAGGAGACAGCAAGCAGTAAATCAGTGCCATACATTTTACAAATAACGTGTATAATCATAGTTTTCATGAAATAAATTTTATTACACCTGAAAATTAAGGATAGTAATGATCCGGCTCGCAGGCGAGCTGCAAGTTAACCATTCGTAGAAAAGAGGCCTTTATAAAAATACAGGCTTCGAAGGGATTCGAATCCGTGTTCCCAGCTTTTTGGGGCTTCCTTTCTGCGATTGCCTAAATTACAGCTTAGGTACAAGGACCATTGCTTTACTTAACATGTATAGTGTTCATCATATCCAGTCTCTAGACTTGTTACGACTGACTGACTGACGGCTTGATTGACTGATTAATCGATTTACTGATTGATTGCTTTATGTTCTAACAGTTAAGGGTCTTTTTTTTTTCAGAAATATGACGTCAATTGAGTTAAATGTTTTTCGTTTTTGGTAGGTGGATCCACAAACCAGGTGAGAATTGAATTAGCCTGCCTGCGAATCAGATTAGTTTATCAGCATACTTTGTTATTTTAAACGCATTAATCCTGGTGGACCGCGCTGTCCCCAATTCAGAATTTTATAATAACCAAGGTTTTTTCGGAAATATTCGAAAACGCTTTCCCTTAAAGCCTTTTAATCTTCAGTCGCGATTAGAGAGATTGTAAGAGGAGACAATTTAGCTTTGCATTATGTGCTTAATCAAAACCAACCAGGATCTCGTCAGTTTTCATTTCATATATTGTAACTGAACAATATCATAAATCGTTTTGATGAGAAAGTCTCCTATATTTTAAAAAACCGTCTCGTAAAAAAACTAATGTCTAGTCATCTAAAATTTTAAATTTACTAGACGCTTTTGGAAATATCCATTTGCAAATAGAACTTGTTTCTCATATTTTACACGTACAAGTCGGTAGCTTAAATGTGACGCACACGATCTAGTTTCCCAGGAGCATTTGCCTTTACTCTTTAACCCATTACGTAGGAACGTGCAGTCAAATCCGGTGTCTCACTGTAATCAAATGGCAGACTTACTGTTTACTCTTTTGAATTATGGGAGAGTCCAAAACTTTCTAGGAAGTTAAGTACTGTGCGCCCTTTATTTTCTTTGGGGATGATGTCACGCTGCAACTGAACCGATCAGCCCAACGAGATGCAGATGCTTTTTAAAATGAGTGAACATAAATTTTCTATTGCTGTTTCTGCATAACATAAATACAGATTTAGCAGTGGACAGCAAGCAGTATATCAGTGTCATACATTTTACAAATGACGTGTATAATCATAATTTTTGAGGAAATAGATTTTATTTGACCTGCAGTTGAAAATTAAGGAAAAAATGATCCTCGCAGGCGAGCTGCTTGTTAAGCATTTGCAGAAAAGAAACCTTCATAAAAATACAGGCTTCGACGAGATTCGAATCTGTGTTTCCAGATGATAGTTTTTTTAGGGCCTCATTTCTGCGATCCCTTAAGTTGCAGCTCACGTACGAGGACCATTGGTTTACTTTAACAGATATAATGTTCATCATCTCCAGTCTCTAGACTTGTTAAGATTGATTGACTGACGGCTTGAACGATTGTTTAATCGATTAATTGATTGATTGCTTTATGTTGTAAAAGTAAAGGCTTTCTTTTTCAGAAATATGACGTTAGTTAAGTTAAATGTTTTTTTTGTTTTTGGTCGGTGGACCCTGTTGAAGAAGCTGTCCACAAACCAGATGAGAATCGAATCAGCCCGCCGCCGAGTTAGATTAGTTTATAGGTGTACTTTGTTATTGTGCAAAAGCATTAATCAATTCAGAATTTTATGATAACCAAGGTTTTTTTGGTAAATATTCGGAAACGCTTTCCCTTGAAGTCTTTAATCTTCAGTCGCGATTGGAGAAATTGTAAGAGTAGACAGTTCCAGCTTTGTATTAGAAGCTTAATCAAAACCAATCAGGAAATCAGTTTTCATTTCACATTTTGTACCTGAACAATATTATAGATCACTTTGATGAGAAATTTTCGCATAATTTTAAAAAACTGTATCGTAAAAAGACCTATGGCCAGTCATCTATATTTTAAAAAAATTAAGTAGACACTTTTTGAAAAATAAATTTGGAAAGAAACAGACATGTTTTTCATATTTTACACAGACAAGTCAGTAGCTCCAGTGTGACGTAGACGATCTAGATTAATTTCACAACAGCATTTTACTTTTCTCACTTAACGAATATGTAGGAACGTAATGTTGCATCAGTTGTCTTAGACTTAAATTTTATTTGGATATGTGTCGCGATTTCTGATCTCAAAATCTTGGTGTTAATTTTTAATGACATGATTAATTAATTTATACTTGATTTAAGTGCAAAATTGTTAACCATAAGACTGAATTAAACACGTTGCTTTGAAAGCGAAGCTTAAGTTTTTGTGGTTGTTGTTCACAGTTTGCTGTTTGAAAGCAAATACAGAAAACAAAATGATGAAGATTATTTTTAGGCTCGTTTTGGTTTATTCATTGTAAATGATGGGGTCTAAATCGTTCTTTT